ATACATATATTTATATTTATTTTTAGGTATAATCATATGAGGGCAGCTGTGGCTGACGGGGTAGAGGGGCTCGATCCCAGTCTTCCCCATCTGTGTGTCCTTAGGCAATATATTGAACCGTGAATTACTCTACTACTTAAAAAGTGCTGCCCATAGATGTGTGTGTGAATGGCAATAAACAATACTGTACAGACTATAATAGCGCAATATAAATACAGACTGCAAATGTAGTATTTACCTTGCTATAGATTTCACAACCATTTAAACTGAGGAGATAAAGCCAGATCATAATGCATACTGATTAACAAAGGTTGTGTTTTCTTTTTCTCCCTTTCTTTTTCAACATTAATACTATCAGTTTCTTACTCATTTTAAATTTGAAAGCTTTTGATTATTTTGTGTACGTGAGTTGACTGAATGTTGAGATGATCCTTTCCCAATCCACAAACACCCAAATCTTGCACTGACAACAGACTTGGATGACCTTCTGTCAGGGAAGTCACACAATATAGGACCAAGAAGTCACAAGACCACACAGTGGGATGCAGTTGCAGCCATGCTGTATCATGCAATAACACAGTAGTGGTAGAGCTGCTTTAGACATCCTCTCATCCTTTCTCCAGAGGCGCTGTATTTGTGAACACAAATGTCCAAGTTATAGCCCTTTAGACTTTCTGTGGATCTTCTCTGGCTAGCATAAAGTCCACTCTGGAGGAGCCAACGTGATCCCCTACTGGATTTATCTTGAGTGAGTGGAAGTGTTGATGATGTTTCTAACACACAACAGATGCAAGAAATGAAAAAAAAAATACATGTAGAAGACACCGACAAAGATGTCAAGAGAGTTTTTGGTGATAAGGGCCGACGGCAGTGTCAGTGTGCTTTAAACAAACATGTGATTGCCACAGCATAAATAATATGTTACATTCGGCCTCTGCCTGCTGAACTACCCCTCACCTGAAAGCTCCAGACATGGTGTTATTATCAACTATTGTTAATATTATGTTTGGATGGCTGTGGCTCAGGTGGTAAAGTGGGTCCTTGGGCAACTTAAAGAAACAGATTTAGTGCTCCATGAATGTGAATGGGGCTTTGAGTATAAAATGCTTTCAGTGGCCTAGAAGATAAGAAAAAACAAACATAAATCCAAACCACTCTGTTGACCATGACTATTATCTTCACCCACTCTTTCTCATCTATTCCTCTGAGGAGCACTGCACTGCAACGGTATCACAACACATCACCACAAGATGGCAGCCTTAAAGAATTGAGAGAAATCCTCACAACCGCCTGTATGTGAAAGTAGCATAGGTTAAACTACTTTCTGGTTGGTCACACTGGAGTGCAGTGTTAATTGTGTTGTAGGATTTTTCTGTACCTTGCTCTTTTCTTCTTTTTTATGATGCCGTTGAAATCGCAGCAGCTCCTTATGTTGCCTTGACACGAAGTTAACAGCAGCATACTCCAACAATGCAGAGAACACAAACAGCAGACACACTGCCATCCAGATGTCTATGGCCTTCACATAAGAAACCTGCAAACACATACACAATTAATTCATTAAGAGGACTTGGTGCTCCTGCACATTAAACGAGAGTATGCGAAGAGGACACCACAGAAAGTAAGTAAATCTATTTTGTTTTACATTTTAACACAGTCTAAACTAAGCAAAGGCCTCTACTAAAGGACAAAGTAAAAAGGTAAACAAAAAGAGAAACATACCAACAAGGGAAATATACAGAGACAAAATATTCTCAGTCATCCAGGTCATGAAATCTTCAGAGGGTGTACAAAGGTATTTGATTAAGATTCCTCTTTATGATCCCACACACAGCATGCAACATGCAAACATGGGGAAATTTAACCTCTGTATTGAACCCATCCGTGTGAACACACGGAACACAATCCACACAGTGACCACATGGAACAGTGGGCAGCCATGAAGGCGCCCGGGGAGCAATTTGGTGCCTTGCTCAAGGGCACCTCGGCAGTGCCCAGGAGGTGAACTGGCACCTCTCCAACTTCCATCCATGCTGGACTTGGACCGGCCACCCTCCGGTTCCCAAACTAAGTCTCTATGGACTGAGCTACTGCCTCCCCTGACTTGCTTGTGTTTCTTGAAGACATTTCACCTCTCATCCAAAAGGCCATTTCATTTACAATTGACCAAGGAGAGGATTCAGGTATTTAACCTCTTTGGGTCTGCACCTGTGTCACGAGTTGGTAAGTTAAACAGGCAAGTTGTTGAAACCCTCACCAGTTAGTGGCTCACGAGGTTCCTCTGAGTCAAGGTGTGGTTGAGTGTTGAACTGTCTGGGGAGAGAATTTAGGATTGCAGTGAAAGTTGGTGTGTAAAACAACCTCCTCTGTGAAGTGATGGTTCACAAAATATGAACATGACCATCCCCTTGTACTTGAAGTGTAAGTTAACTGCTGAGTCCTGGTCTTAAGAACTGTCTTTCCAAAGCTGTGCCATCCGTTTGTGTAATGATTGTTTTGTTTCCCCCATGATATACGTAGGTCTGAGCAATCCTTGTTGCATTGGGCTGTATAAACCACGTTATTCTGTTTGTGTCTGGGTATTTTGCTGTTAGGGTGCAAAAGCTTTTGCAGTGGTGTGTCGCTGGGCTTGACGTTTACAGGTATATGGTGTTTGTAATATATATGAAACATTAGTATATGGTGTTTGAGAGGTGAAACATCTTCAAGACAGACAAGCAAGTCCAGATACCTATGTTCACTTGTACAACTTCAGAAGACATGACAATAGATTGAAAGATTATTGGCTTCAGGCTTGTGAATAAAAAACAGAAAACAGAGATGGAGGGAGAACATCTGGTTTCTAACAGCAACTGGTTCCACAACCATGGAGCAGCAACAATAAAGGCTCTGTCACCCTTTTGTTTTAAACATTACTGAGAGATTTGCTGTCAGGTGTATGAAGACAGGAGCTGAGTGGCAGCAAATCAGTATATCACCTAGTTATATGTGGTTAAATGGAATTTAATTAAATTATAAAATCAACCGGGAGCCAATGAAGAGAGGTGACAACATGTCTGTGTTTTTTTTAATCAATGTTGTACTGGTCCTGCTGCTGCCTCATGCTACCAGTGTGGCACACATAGAGATTACCCTTTTTCTTCCTAGAGAGAATTTCTTTATTCTTAAATGCATCACGATGTGGACGACTGTCTCGATGCAGTGACGGAACATAATCGAACACCACTGAATAATTATAACCACTGCTGATCCAGGATCATGACAGACGCTCATTAAAGATCTGGTCTGTGTCAGAGTCACTGTCAGAGTCTGCTTCCTCCCCACTCTCTGACCTGCACTCACTTTACACATGTACAGGACTGACATTTACTAAGTGTTTGTTTGATTTGCTCTGGAGTTTATGGGACACATGTTTAAACCTGCTACACAAAATAAGACATAACTAGAAGCATTCAGGACTTCAGGGCTAAGACACAACGCAGTGTTTTAACTTCACTGTTGCAGAATAAGAGATGCCCCATTCATCTAGGAACTTAAATATTAATTCAGCAGGTTTTTATAAATATCAGCTCGGTGTGAGTTATTAGACAACCTCAGAGGAGCAGATCTGTTATTGACCTGTGTAGTAATGCGCCCCAGTGCAGTGGTGCTGCCGAGGGGCAGGTGGAGCCACCTTGATACGGTAAAGGCTATAATCAGTTTTTTCCTTTTAATCCTTAGGTGCAGCACATAAGTCTAAACTGAATGAATGTAAAATCAGTGTGCAGAGCACTGACCACTGTCACTGACTTACTGTTGTAGTCTGATTATTTATTTGAAAACCATTGTTGTAAAATGCACCGAGATGCATCATTAGTATTTTTGAATCGTTGACTGCCAAATCGTAATAGAATCATGAGGCTAGTGAAGGAGCACACCTCTAGTGAGCACACAGGCATCGACAGTCATGTCAGACAGACAGGCTGCATCTCCCACCACCCACCTCCTGTCCCAGATGTGTGTAAAGGGTGTGGTTTGGACCCAATAGCAGCACAAAGACAGGCGGGTATCGTTGGTAACAAACTTTATTGTCAGAGCCACAGAACTGCAGGATGCCACAGAGGAGACGAGAGTGACACTCTGAATCAGGTAATCACTGGATAGCCAAGGGAGCAGACAGGCAGAATCCAGAAAGGGACAGGCGAGGATCGTGGTTGGGGACGGAAGGCTGAGTTGATTACCAGGAGATCGGTCAGGCAGGATGGTCGGAGATAAGCAGGGTCGAAACCGGGAGATCAGGCAGAGAAACGCTGGAGAGTCTGGTGCAAGCATCGAGAACAATCTGGCAATGAGTGAGAGTGGAGCTGGGGCTAATGTACTGTAATTAAGGGGAAACACTACAGGTGAATACTAAAGAAGACCATTGTCTCTGTGTGAACTGTTGAGCATTTAACTTGTTTGTGTGTGAGGGTATTAAAATAAAATTGGCAAGAAAATAAATCAGAGATGTGCTGCTGTATTTAACTTTTTGTTTAAAATGTTTTTTTATAAATAATTATGAGAGGTGTCCTTTTTCTCACTTGAGCCCGTCCCCGGAAATTTCTGTGCATGTCCCTGCTTCCAGTAGTGACAAGGACAATAGCAGGACACAAAACTAGAGAAGAATCATTTAGGAGAGAAAGAGAGAGCAGCTGTCTTTGGCCACCAAATCAAAAACCATTCCCTTTTTGGTGGTTGTCTTGCTTTTGCCACTCCAATGTGCCTGTTGTCACTTTTATTTGCACCAAAGCAGGTTGAGACAGATTGAGATCCCTGAAGTTTAACTGACTTGGTGTTATAATGTGATGATTAAGTGTTTCCTTAATTGTTTTGAGCAGTATATATCTATATCTATAGTCTACATTGTGGTTGAGCATGTGATTAAAAATGACCCTTCCACATCTCTGAGGCCATTCAAGTGGCTATGCCCTTTCTCAGGCAGAGTGCCAAAACCTTCTGGAGAATCTGATTTTGAAACATGGTGCCTCCATGTAGATTTGATGTTCCAAGATGGAGCCCCTGTGGATGTTCAACGTAGGAAAATATTGGAGAGTCTGCTTCCTCTAGCCTCAGACGTTGTCAGACAACTAGGTTCCTCTGCTCATGCAAGGGAATATGTGAAGCTGTTGGACTCTGCTTATGGTCTGCTAGAAGATGGTGATGAAATCTTTGCCAGGTGAAAAGGCATCAGAATATTTGCAAAGGCTTCAGGTGCTTCTCAGCACTGCTGTGAAGAGAAATGGAGTCAGTAAGTCATCAGCAAGCCATCATCTGCTGAAACAGTTCAAATGCGGCTGCGGGGGCATCATGAAGTTAGAGCTGAAACCTGAGAAACACTTTGACTTTGCAGAGCTACTTTTACGGCTAAGAACAGAAGAGGATAAAAGGGCAACAAAGTTGGATCGAATGCACCGTCACTTTGGGGCCTCAAAACCAAAAGTCACTGCAAATGAGCATTCTGTGCCTGACATGTCTCCTTATGGTGATCCAAGTCCAAGTGTTCTCCAGGCATATATCGCTGAGACAGAAAGTTTAAAGCAGCAGCTTGCTGAACTAAAACTGCAGCTCAGCACCCAGAAACCGAAGAAACAGAAGAAAAATGAGACAATGTCAGCAAACAAATCGAACCTGCCCACACCAAGAGCCGAGGCACAAGCTCATCAGGTACCACACAAACCTCAGCCTAGAGCCTGGTTCTGTTTTAGATGTGGCGAAGACGGCCACATAGCCAAGGTATGTCATAACCCAATCAACAAAGCTGCTGTGGACAGGAAATACAAAGAATTAAAAGCAAGGCAAGATGAGTGGAAAGCTAAACAGCTTTTACCTTTAAACTGGACGGGCTCCCAGTAAAGGGACCTACTGGAGACGAAGAGGGAGTTGAGAGTCCGGAGATACAACACAATGAAAAGAGAGCTGAATGTGAACACATACAAACCTCTGAGGATGAGCTCCTTAATGGTTTAGTAGGCCAAAGATCTGTTGCCGTCTTTAACATTGAAACAGTGCAGTGCCAAGCAATTATTGATTCTGGTTCACAGGTTACAACCATTTCCAAGTCATTTCACGATACCTACCGGTCTTCCCTACCAATTCTGCCCCTTAGAGACATCCTCGAGGTGGAGGGCGCAGGAGGTCAAAATGTACCTTACCTGGGTTATGTAGAGATTAGCATACAGTTTCCTGAAAACATCACAGGTAAAGCTGAACTTGTTAGCATGCTAGCTCTTGTTGCCCCAGATTGTAGGTCCAATGCAGAGTGTCCTGCTCTTTTAGGCACCAACGTTCCCCTGATTCGGAACATGTACAGCACATGCCAGATCAAACAAAACAATGACGTGGTCGGAAGAGTAAAACTACAATGTAAGAAAGCCATTGTGATCCCAGGTGGTGAAAAGAGGGTTTTGAGTGGTTATGTAAGGAGGGTACCCACCAACAAGGGAAGCCCGATCTTAGTAGAGCTATCCACTCAATCTAGTCTACCCAGTGGTTTGTCTCTTTGTAGTTATGTCATGT